ACCTCTGTGTGATTTGGCCTCATATTGGGGCAGTTTCTTTTTTTAGCTCGAGACTCAAATCTCGGGTGTAATCCCTTTTTTAACATGAGTGTTAACATCTTTTTTTGCTTTGCTTAATAATAGTTTGGGAATAATGACGGCAGTATTCATTGTTTTTTATTTATGTTTTTCATCTGTTGGTGTGGAATGTGTGTGCTGAATGTTAATACCGTCTTTCCTCTTAAGGAGGGAGTGCTGTGAGGTAAGCTGAGTGGGTTTGTTTTTCTTTGGTGCCTTATTATACTGCACTTCTCTCTGTTATTAAGCATCGGTACCTATGGGGTACTGTTGTGTGTGTGGATTCACTAATTGGGGTTTGTTAATAATGGTCTTTTTTGAAAACATGAATGGTGTATTTGGCAGTTTAAAGAGATGTGTTCCTATGAGGTACAATGGGTGTGATGAGGATTTATGGTGTTATATCTGTGTTTTCACCTTTTTGCTCTTTGTGTTTCCTATTCCTTAGTTTATGATGGACTAGTGTAGTATAATAAACAATAACAGTGATGCCCTGTATGCTATTTGTGTGTGTCTGCGTTGTTGGCTCTAATAGAGCCACACTTGTGCAGCAGACATGGCAGGGATAAGGGGTTGTTGTGATCCCATGTGTGTGTACGCACATACTCGATGTGGGTAAGGAAGGGAAGAGGGACAGCTGCCAGCCTACAGTGTAAGGTGTACTGTACATGATGTGTTTATCCCTTCACTGTAATGAAGTGAATGCTTGCCATTACTGTGAAATGGAATGGGATTAGTGTTCAGTGAATATATATGGAATCCTAATTGGTATTGATGTACGGCACTAGTAGTAGTGCACTCATCAATAGCCCAACCAGCCACAGTACTCTGGATAGCAACTGTAATGGTGGCATAGTCTCTCTCTCTCTCAGTGGGTAGTTAATGGTTTTTATTGTAAATTCTTATTTTGTTACTTTTAGTTATTTCTCAATATTTGACTATGGTAACTGTGCTATATTCTGTGATTGATGATGAGGATGATGAGGATGATGATGTACTTTGTGTTGGTTTTCTTTGTCGGGCATTTGTATTCTGCTAATGAGATGATGCGCTGGATGATGAGAGTGTATATTTTTTCTTTTATTTGTTCCAATCAAGGTGTAAATTGGTGAATGGTTTAGAGTGTGAGTTATTACGTACTGTTCATGTTGTTTTACCATCTGATCTAAATCGTAAAGAACGGTAGAGGCAGAATAAATAAAGAAAATAGTCAGAGAAAATTAATATATAGAACAGTAGAATAACGAAGTAATGAAGAGTTTGTTGGAAATGATAATATCTGTGATGTTGTTCTTGCTGCTCTTGCCGCCCTGTTTCTGTGGCCTTGCAGCCCTCCGTGATGATAGTTGCACGTACGATACTACTGTGTGGAAGAACATGAGGAATAAAACTGATTATACACCTTTGTCTGTTTCTATTGTACGGGAATTACCTC